TCGTTGTGCAGCGACATTTCAGACCAGGAGGCCCGTGCCGCATCCTCTTTACATCGGAGGAGAACCGCGTGACAAAACCGAACGACACCACCTACGAACGATAAAAATGAAACTGTTGATGCCTTTTTCACGACCTGTCCCGAGAACTAATTTTCTTTTTTGTTTCGCACGATTTTTACATACACTGCTTGACCTTTTGAAAACTGAAAAAAACTCCCTTAGTCTTTTCACCCCCCTTACCTTGTTTGGTTTCATTATCTCTTCATGCTCTCACCGCGCATGGTTTCATTCAGCATGGACGGCCTTGTCCGAATTTTCTGACCGAAGAACGATTCGCTTGGTGCTGTTTCCGTGAATCAGTAGGGTGTCGTTTGATAGGGAAATAAAACGTCGATCCGGTGCTGCAACGTGCGCTTGCGCCCCAACTTTTCCGTCTTCCGTTTGGACTTTCAAGGTGCCTCTTTTTGTAGCTCGTAGTGATCTTTCCACGGCACCATTCGATTGTGGATTATGTGGTGGCGTAATCAGATGGGATCACCTCATCCTCATTCAGAAATCGCCAACCCGTGAGATCTAAGCTGTGGCACATTGTCTGTTACAAACCTGGGTAGGCCATATGCGGCAAATACTCCACTTACGGCTTCCACCGTGGCTAAGGCCGTAGTGTTCACGAGTTTCACCTCTGACCACTTGGAAAACGTATCTACCATAAAAACAAGGCGTTTCCTTTGGATTCCGCAGAATGCAAATGCGTTATATCCCAGGGGTTACCCGTTATTGTCCACGGCTGAAGTAGTACATGCTGCGTTGCACTTCGCACGCTTTGGCACACCTCACAACTTCTGGCTATTTTTCTTAAAATCTGCGTCAAGTTCCGTCCACCAAATCCGACTACGAACAAGCATTTCTTTTTACCAATACCTGGATGCCCGTCGTGCATTAGGCAAAGCACGCTTGTCCTTAAAAACTGAAATGACGACTCGAGTGTTACACAACAAAGAGCCTTGCTCGATAGAAAGCTCGTGACGACGGCTGAAGTATGGCCGGAACTTCGCATACGTTTCGTTTGGCAAGCCGCTCCATGTCATGTCCACCATTGATCTTCGCACTTCATAATTTTTAATGCGAAAGCATTAACTGGTCCCATGGAGCGAGCCGACGTCATCAACCGCGCCAAACAACAGCTAAATCCCCCTCTCCCAATAGAGCGAAGTAAAGCCGCGATCTGAGGCATCCCAGCTTTGAAGCCGCGCGAATGCCACCCAAAACGGCAGCTAAATGAAGCCGAATTCAGATGGATAGGGCTGCCGCGCGTCTGTTTCAAGGTGCTCCACCCCATTGCGCTGCTGGCCCGCGCCGAAGCAGAAGCGGCCGCGGTGCCGAGAGGGTCAGAAGCGGCCGCGGTGCCGAGAGGGTCAGAAGCGGCCGCGGTGCCGAGAGGGTCAGAAGCGGCCGCGTTGCCGAGAGGGTCAGAAGAGGCCGCGAGAGGCGCGCGTATCGGCACTGAGTTACATCTGGAGCATGCCTATTATCCGCTCGTCTTGGTTTTCGCTCTGCGAGCACCGCACCGAGGCCGTACGCGGACCCATCACAGGTGATGCGCTGCTATCATACAGCGCTAACACTGACTCATCACTGATAAGCAGTTGCATTGAAGAAAGCTGCTTTCGAATTCTTCTGTTCCTTCCCATATTGCTGCCTTGCTTAGTAGCCTGTACATTGGTTCGAGGATTCTTGCTGTTCCCGTCAAGAATTTGGCGTAAAAATTCGCCAGTCCCCAAAAAGCGTTCAGTTAGCTCCGTGACAGACGTGGGTTTGGTTGCTTTCAAGATAGCCTCGACTTTTTCTTTAGTTGGGACGAATGCCTGCTTCATCTATTTCGTGACCTAGATACCTACCGCGGTTTTGAAGATACTGACGCCTGGTAACATTTATTCGAATACAATGGGTGACAGTCTTGTTAGCCAGTGTTCCGTGCGTCTAAGACACTTCACCTCCGTCCTTCTGACAATTAGCACGTCATCAAGATAGCCCACTGTGCTTTCCATCATTTAATGCATAATCCATTACCGGCTGACAACTTGCTGGTGCACTGGCAAGACCAAATGGCAGGCGCATGTATCGAGAAAGACTCAGATGGGTTTTGATTGACAATAGTTCTTGAGATTTTGTCTCCATTTCGAGCTGGAAATACGCTTCCGACAAATCAATCACGGTGAAGCTTGTGCCTCCTGCCACTGACGCGAACAGATCTTCACACAATGGTAACTGTTTGTGTGCCACCGTAATGCATGGATTCAGGGTCACACGATAGTCCCCTCATGCCGTCACTGCGGTGCCGTCGCATTTTTGGCCCCAGAACCAAATCAGTTCCCCATTCGCTTTATTGTACAGGATACAATACTCCGTTCACTTCGAGGTCTCGCACCTTGTGTTATACCTTTTCTATTAAGCGTGCGCGGTACCACTCAGGCTTTGCAGTACACCGGTCACGCTTCTGCGTTCAGGTTTCGACGTTCGAAGTGCCCTACTTCGAACGTCGAAAATATTTCTTCGACTTCCTTGAACCAAACTGGAATGTCCACGCTGCAGGGCAGCCTACCACGTTTGAGCACCTTGGCACATAGCGTGAACGGGTCCATGCTACAGCCGTCACTCGCGCCCGACTCGAAGCTTGACTCCTCGCGTGTCGTCTTTCCCTCCACCTTGATCGGGCGCATGGCAATGCGCTCTTTTGACTCGAGTCTGAGCGACTCGCGCGCGTGCTCCAACTCAAGTCGCCGCATCGTTACGGCATCGGGCTCGCCCGAGTTACCCGTATTCGGTAGTTCACCCTCGGACCGATTATTGTCCTCCGTCCCCGACTCATCCGCCGATTTCGCAGTCATGCGTTTCGGAACGACTACCATACACTACTCGACAACTGTACTGGAGCCACGTCAACTTCTAGAAACGGCAAGAAGTCTCACTCTCCCGGTCTGGGCTGGTTTGCTTCCGTCAAGGATTCTCAGTCCTTGCTCTGCTCCAACGTCGGAAGGCGCTCACTTGCTTGCACCCCTTGACAATTCAGGTGCTCTAAGGTCTGCCGCCGTCTTAAGGAGCTTGTTCCAACAGGGTCCGGAGACGTGTTGCTCCCCTTCCTTGAAGGTTCAGGCGCACGATCTCTTTGATGTTCTTAGCTTTCCAAGAAGTATGTCGATGTTTTCCCACCAGCCCTGTCGACTGCGCCAGTAAAATTTCGTAGTTCTTCTTGGCTGGCTGCTTAATAATTGGTGCACGATGGAGGCTTTCGAGGGTTCTAGGTTAGACATTTATTTACTTTGCGAACTCTGTACAATTTCTATGTACGAGTAAGTGAAGTTTGCATCTCCGTCGAACGTTCTTGCGGTCGTTCGAAAGCAAGCAAAAATCGCCCTTCCCGCCCCGTCAGGAGCTTTTGAAACCTCGGTCCTTCTCAACCTCGGGAACCGATCGGCCAGTAGGTTTCAATCCTTTCGGAGTCACGTGCCACCCTCCGTCCAATGGCCGACACGGCGCATACAGGCACCTTCGTCAAGATCCTCACGGACTCGAGGTGACAGCACCGTAACTTCAACAATGGTCACCGTGGCCGTCTTCGTGGCGCCACAGCGAGCCCCTCGGTCGAAACCCGATCGGCTTTTGCGCCCAACGGGCAGTTTGTCGCTAATCGTTTCAACTGCACTATGAACTCATTGACAGGCTTCCTTGGGTACGTTTGTAAAGGTTCTACTGCTCCGTCACAATAGAACGCTTCGGCTTGTAACGCTTGTGCACTTCTCTTATCTGTTGATACTTTTTCTCTGGCGTCTCCGGGAAGCCCAGGTTCCGTGGGGTCATATAGGCTTCATCACGCGGTACTGTGATGAACACGCCTGTTTTGCGCTAGTCGTAGAATTTTTTTACTCTTGGAAAAGCTTCAAACCTCTTGAGGTAAACTTCCAGGTTACCTGTGGCGGGGCCGAATTCGGTCAACCGCATGATGAGCGGCTGAGTGACGCTGGCTGACACTCCCGTGTCGCTGTCTTGGGTACCTCGCACTGCGGCTCGTATCGTTTACGCCTAGCAGCTTCGTAAAATCCTAGTCTCCATTGTTACACACGGGACACAGGTTTGGACAGAGACCAGTATAATGACGCTTGGCCGCTACAGGAAGAATTAAACAAAACACGCCCTTCCAGGGAGTTATCTACTATCAATCCAGTGTTATCACACTAGTATCAACCACGTGTAGCCCGCTACTGGGTTACACATACAACAGACTTGACATGTAACGGAGTGACGTGTATCCAGTCTGTTACCGTTTTGTGTTTTTTCCTCTTATTTTTTTATAGTAATCAGTTGTTTGAACCTTCTAGGTTGCGAAGTGCTATTAAATTGTAGTCTGTAAATTAATCCTTAATTCATGATCCAAGTCACCCTTAAATCAGTATTTTAAAATCGTATCATGCGTTTATCTATTGTTATATTTGTTGGTTTCGTTAATAGATCAGTACTGTGAAATATTAACCCCATATCATATTGTGACTTCTTCTGCGAACCTAGAATTAGAGGCAAGCTAAGATTAAATATTTGAGACTGCCTCCGAGACTGCTTTATTTCAAGTTTTTCTATCTCTTGCAACAAACTCCTTCTCAATTCATTCGTATACGCTCTTAAAGAAAGAAGTAACTTAATAGTTTATATTATGAATGCACCATTTACTTCTGTCTTTTTTTTTTTCTTGTTTTGAAGAATGTGGTGTTTGGCGAAGTCTCGAAGGTCCACAGTGAAATTTCCAATACGCTGCGCCGTTTCGCGTGGAGACACTTTCAGAACGCAACGTTGAAAAGGCTATTTCAAGAAAGTGCACCACTGGGCAATGGCTCGTTCAGCGTGGAAAAATCGGAAAAGGTTTGCAAGATTTACTCTAAAACTACTTTGATTCTCTAATTAGCCTCTTCATTTATTGAAATATATATATATACACATATTGTCTGCAGATGGATGAACTCAACGCTGAAATGGAAACTATTTACAGCGAAACTGAAGTTCGTATTGATTTTAGGGGACGACTAAAGATTGAACCTGGTGAGTCCTTGTCAATCATTACTCAGTTTCGTTTTTTTTTTTTTGTTTTTTTTTTTCTACATTTTTGTTTTCTAAGTGTTTCTGGGCGTCTGCATTTCTCCTACACTTTGTTTCGTGCCAGGAAACGGAGTGGTGTTACGGGATCGTAGCCAACGATAAAAGTCGGCAAAATCAATCAATCAATCAGGAATAAATGTGCATAGTCACGGCTAAACCAATCGCGCATAATAAATTTGCGTGATTATGCGTTTTTTTTCGTCATTGCTCTAGTTGCTGACAGCAAACGTACTTTTGGCGCTGCTTGATCGACAATCGAATGGTAATGTCGGCTGCACTCGGACTTTGTGTGAAACGTAGGATAGAAAAACGTTTTTACGATTATATAGAGCGCCTGAAAATGACTAAATTTGCGCGAGTTTCATTAGATGAAACCACATGCGCTGCACAGCCGCCGAGCGTTAAAGTGTAGACATTGATATACTTTGTGCTTCATACATCGTATGTGAAGGGACTCTCGCAGTTACGAATAAGCTACGTATTTCGACTGCAAGTTACTTATGTGCGGTCCTGAAGAAGAAATGAGCATAAGCACTGCGTCTGTCACCTGTTTTGTGACTCGACGGTTTTGGGCACTGCGCGACACTGCTCGCTCGATCGAGTTATTGCCGCGTCTTTTGTTTTACTGATAGTAGCAAACGGATGTCATTAAAACGTAGTGTGAAGGAACGTGCTCATTGGGGACACCGACAAAGGCGGTAAAATTTGTTACTGGCGAGCACCCTTTGGAAGTAGGATTTGAAAGGGCGCCGATGACGTATCCTCACCGACAGTGGGGCAAAGAATACATTAAGTATGCATAGTTGGTAATAAAAAGTGCAGTGAATTATGCCACGTTCACCCGTGCAAAGGATCGACGCGCATGACAACACCTAATTTCAAAAGCTTGGCCGTAATATTTGGCAAATGTGTCCGCAAGCCCCAGCCTTTACGACTCCCCTAAGTGCAAGCACGTTCCGCTTTTAGAATGACTTACAGCACTGTTAGGGGTAATATGGGTGCCAGCACTTATTTTTTCCTCCGATGTTCCTACCTTGATCAGAGGACTTTGAAATTTCTCTTCTATATTTTCATTGTTGGTCCTCGCGGCCTCTCGCATGCCAAAGCTATTCCATAGCTCAGTTCTAGTTGAGTATTTTTTTATATAGGACTCGCAGCCATTATGCGCGAAGTAGGAGATTACGACCTTCTGATGGAAGCATGGGCAGCGTGGCACAACTCTGTGGGCAGGCAAGAAAGGGACCTCTTCATTCCCTACATCAAGCTCGCGAACGAATCTGCGATTTCCGAAGGTACGTAATAGCTCAAGTACAAAAGCGCCCGAAAACAGACTCGCTGATTAGGCTGGTTTTAGTGAGCCGAAGGTAAGCATTGTAAGGAACGTTTATGTGTACTGATATCCCCAAAACAACAAAAGGTAACCCTCTAGTTCTAAGCCCAAATTACGCTTGAAGCAAAACGCGACGCAGCAGCACTATAAAAGCCTTGTGCTTTTGAAGGAAACCTTAAATTGGGGAGCGAGTACGCGAATGAACGGTTTCTGTCTCTTCAGAATGTTGTGCCCATTTTTTTCATTAGTTGTACGCCGTCCGTGCTAACATTCGGTCTACCTATGCCAGTAGTTAATCTTGTGTCTAAATGTATTGCAATTTGGGAAAACGGTGCCCTTTTTTTGTTTTCTTTTTGACAACTAAGAACAACATTTGAGAGTGCTGTCTGGCAACCATCCTTCGAAATACACGACCAGATTATAGGTCACACGTGGCCAGGTTAGAGAATACAAATAAAGCTGGTTAAAAGGATTACTTATATCCTTATACAAATCCTTAACTAAATCGTAATAAAAATTATGCCGTTTTTTCAATAATGACATGAATCGAACCTTTTCTGCACAAATAACTTTCAAACTATTATTTAGTTTCGTATTAGATTTTTTATTAGCAGTGGGTTTGAATTTAAATCAAATAATCATCGAGCGAAACGCGTTACTCATCTGGGTATATCAGTGTTGATTGCGTTTTTTACTTTCCACTTTGCTCGTCAGTTATGTGATATTTTATTGCAAGACAATCGGAACGCAAAAAGTTCCATACCAATGCTAGGAAAACGTCACATTTCAAGACAATCGTAATGCGAAACAGCTCAACTTTTTCATTCTAAAAAAGATCGATCTGCTTTTGTTCTAGGTTGGCAGGGTTTACGTGAATAAAAAAAAGTAATTCGACTGCACTTTAAAGTTACAGTACGCCTTTCTTCCGTATTTGTATTAGTGATCGGACGGATTTATAATTTTCAAAAATACTCTTCTGCACCTCAAGGACTGAAGTAAAAAAAAAGAAAAGTCCGGCTACTCGGGGAGCAGCACTCCTTTTCCCTTTTATGTAGAGGAATAAGATTTTCAGGCGCATTTTTTGTTATCTTAACAAAGATACACACGCCTCAAACGCCCCGAAACCCAAATCCACTCAGGACTACTTCCCGCGGCGTGTGAAAATGAGCAAATTTTCCTTGTTGCTTGAGTTGAAAACGAATATAGTCACAGATAACACAGTTGGTAAATTAAATCAAATTCTGCTGACATAAATCAAACAATTTATACTTAAATTAACTACACCGCCAAAACCAGATAAAGCTGAATTGTTATAATATACGAACGTGTTCATTTGAATCTAGCCCACGTATACACACTAATTTCTTTTTTTTTAATAATAAAAATTTCCAATTTACTTCGTATTTCAAAGAAATGGGACTGTGTCAGAAATAAACTGCGGTAAACTCCGAATTCTTGGTAAGAAAATATGTTCTGCGAAATACCGTCCGTAATCCACGAAAAATACTCTGAAAACAAGGAAACCTTGTAAGAGTTTAGCTACAAAAGTTGTTACTTGTTTTGTTACCCCCAGTTGTATTTTTCTTGAGTTTCTCAATCAAAACATTATAAAAAGAATACTACTAAGTGTCGTACAAATATTTAACTCGACAGAAAATTTGAGTATGACAATGACCGATATTGTCATATTAACCACCGCCGCCACAAAGAGAATGGCGTACTCAGAGTAAATGATTTCGTTCGTTTCTAAAACATCCCCGTATAGCTGCAAAATCAACATTCATGGTGGAGTTAATGACCCAGAAAATTAGCAATAAAAAGAAAAATAACAAAAAAATAAAGAAAGAAAAAGGGTTATTTTCACGTATAGGATAACAAACTCAATTTCGACGTTAAATGTCCACGTTCAACACATTAAGGTTCTCACAAAAAGAAAGGCATACCACGTTGTTTGCTTCGACCACAGCAAATTTAAAACCTAGATGTTCGTGTGGTAGGAAGCCACAACCCCGTAGCACATTCGTTCACCTAGCCTAGCAAATTTCACTCGCCCCCCCCCCCCCCCCCCCCCCGCCAAATCTGCAGCGTTTTCGTGGTTCCTTTTAGAGCGCAAAGCTGCTGTAATGCACAGCTTTCTGCTGCTCGGATCTGTAATTATTCCGACATGTTGTCACTCTATAAATTCACTTGAACTCAATCTTTGCTGTTCTTTCTTCTTCTGCGGAATTAGGTTATGGAAACATCAAGGAGATGTGGTTGAAGAGCTACGCGATGAACAATTTTACGGAAGTGATCGATGGAATCTTCGAAGAACTGTCGCCTCTCTACAAAAAGCTCCACGCTTACGTCCGTATGAAACTGCGAGACATCTACCCTGGTAGGATGCCGGAGGACGGCACGATCCCTGCACACCTTCTCGGTATGAGACTTGGACTCCATTTGTCTCTTCCTGGGGGTAAGCAGTCCTTTGTTTTTGTTTCAGGCGACATGTGGTCTCAACAGTGGGGAAACTTGTACACCACTCTTAGGAATGGCACTCCCATCGATATTACGCGCGAGATGGAATTTCAGGTATGTATGACAGAAACTGAAATAAACGTTCAGGATTTACTTACCAGACGGTATCTCGTACACATCAGTGGAGGGTTAAAAATAGTTTACAATACCTTTAAGAAAAAAACGTTGTCTTTTACCAGTTGCTGGGTCTCACTCACAGCGCAGAACCTGTGATTGGGCCCGAGGTCACTGGGAAGATAGGCAGCGCTCGTGACCAAACCATGCTCGGAACACGTTTGCAAAATATGGCGGCCTCAGATGAAGCGCCCAGCATCTATTTGATTGCGGAAACTTTTGAAAGTGACTCAAATCTGTTTCATGGTGCGCGTACAAAAATAATCTTCCGAACGTTTCATCTACATTTCGCACCTATTTCTTTCTTGGCTTGAAGGTTGGCACCATGTCTATGGTTCACCAAGTTAGCAAGTAATAAAAATTAAGACTTTAAGAGGTACACTGCTGCGCTTCTTACATGATCCCCGATTTGCCTCAAAACTGTTTAAACACAGCACCTAACATCGCGAAACTAGGAGCCCAACGATTAAGATTTCTTTTTCTGCTAGTTTATTTAATCATTTTTTTGTCTTTTTTTTTATTGGCAAAGTCTTCACTGGCAACAATAGAAACTTGTCACCAGCGACAGGTAGGGGTTCACTCTATGGGCAGTTTGTTCTCAAATTATAGTAAAATGTTTTGACTGTGAAATAAATGCTTTGGAAACTCTCTCCTGCACTGATGTCAACCTGCTAGCTTCTCTTCCAGTAACTTACAGCACTAAAAACCACAGATGTGTTTAATGTCAGTATCGGCATCGCCTTCATATATGGATTTTGCAATAACTCTTCTAAACAAATCTGGATAGCATGCCGTGCAGAGTAAAGGCTGGTTATTATGCAAATATTGTTAGTTTGGGCAACTTGAAGAATCTCCGAACTACAGCCTTTTAAACATTCACTCGGTTCGCTTAAAACAGAATTTCCACCAGGCACGTTATTGTCGATGTTTCATTTTGCCGCAGAAATGGGACGCCCAGAGGATCTTTGAGACTGCGGAAGCGTTTTTCGTCAGCCTGGGGCTAAGCCCCATGACGCCAACGTTCTGGAACAAGTCCATTTTGTCCCAGCCGGCCGACCGAAACATCGTCTGCCACCCCGCAGCGGCTGATTTCAGCGATGGGGATGATTACAGGTATGTTCTTGGAGAGCGAAAGTAGGTTTCTGCGCTTCTTGAGATCAAATAAGCTCTTGGTCGCAGTCTTTCTCTAATGGTCTTTCAGCTGGCTTCAGCTCATATTCACGAACCTTTTAAACGGAAATGACGTAAAACTTCAACCGTGGCAGTGCACAGGCAGTTTTCTAAATCTTAAAATTTGTTTCATAAAAACCGTGAGGCTACACCTATTAACTTTATGGTCAGCGATCAGTGTTTTCGGGTACCGCTTTACAAGTATAGCGTTACCGGTAACGCGTTAGTTTTTTTCAGTAACGTAGTAAGACTCATTACGTTTTTCAAAACAGTAACGGGTGACGTAATTACGTTACCCGTTACGCTGGACAGGGTAGAAGGGGTGAGAGGAGGAAGCGTGGGAAAAGTGGAGAGAGTACTGGTTGTTGGTCTTTAAGCCACACGCAGCCGACGCTACGAGCTGATGGGAGTAATCAGACAACCTTAAAAGGGCGCCATCATGGTGTTCGCCATGTTCATATATCTTTTCTATCATTGGTGAACCAATCACAAACAAACAAGGCTGATTGACTTGCGCTTTTGACGCTTCTTTATTGGTCCCATTAGTTCGTAGCGTCCGCTGCGTCCGGATTTAAGCTGAACCGAAGTACAGGCGCCAAGTCATTAATTATAGCACTCATTCCACATGCCTTCTAAACTCTGCCTATCATTTCCAAAGGCGAAGCGTCCCATTTTAGAAAAACCACGTCCACACCCTCTTTCTCGAAAATCGCTGTTAGCGTCAATTTATAAATATAAAGTTGCGCAAAAGCAACGCGTGTTGCTTCTTATCAGTAAAGGTAACGCGTTCGTTTTTTTTTCGCAAGAAACGAGTAATGTATTTCGTTACTTTTTTTTGTAACGCCTACAACACTGCCAAGGGGACATAATACAGGGGGATCATTGTCACAATAAGTTGGTTAATTGACTAGAAAATGTAAATTCACTTTTTAGATCAACTTTGCAAAGGGTTTGAACTCGAAACTTGCTGAGCGTCATCGAAAGCTACAAAACCATTCAATTTTAGAAATCACTTAGAAAACACGGTGGAGAGCTGAAGTTGCCACTCGTGGACCACGAAGGAGGCTACCGGTGCAGTACAATGCCCGTGCAGTTCATCTCTTAATATCCGCGTTTTCTCGCCGCCAGTCTTTTGCCTGTTGCACGAGTGGCGACTGTAGCGCAATGCTGCGCTTCCTAAGTGTTCAGTCTTTCTATAAAGTACTCATTTCGGGGTTTTCGATTATGCTGAGCGAGTTTCTAAATTGAACCATGAGTTAAGTATCACTAATTAAAAATACCAAGGTTTAGTCAAATTGACTTTGATAATGTAGATTTCGCGGCTTTTCTGAAACAAATCGTTAAAGCCTAAAAATAGAAAAAGGTAATTGTTACGTGGTTACTACGTTAGGGCGCTGAAAAAAAGAGGTCGAAGAGTAGGAGTGGGCACGGTAGCAAGAATTGCATTTTATTTGGAGACATGTACATATATTCACACTATAATCCAAGGTGTGTATATATTTGTTTTTTTTGGGTTTTTTTTTTTTAAACACGTTTCAGTTGCCAGTAGCGCTTCGTGTCTCCAGCCCTACTTTTAGTCCTTTGTTTATGATCTGTTGACGTAGTAAAAAACACCCTGTAGCAATATTGCTCACCATCGAAATACGTTTCCTTGAAAATTATAATTGAACATGTTCTTCAAAGATCAGAAGTTGTTACGACTATTGTCTTCTTTGTTATAATGCGGCTTTTATTTTGTATCTATTTTCTCACATAATGTTCGCGTTTTGCTAGAAATGGTTCTTTTTGTTGCACATGTATTTGATTCAGACATTTTCAAAAACTATTGATAAATTTCAATGCTTTTTTGAGGAAAACTTGGATATTCAAAACTATTCATTGAATATTATGATATAAATATCCGTTGCATCAGAGTTTAGAAGCTGTGTTTGCAAGACCTCGTGCATTTATTGAATAGAATTTAAGACAACACCGCTCTCAACTCTCCAACAAAGTATGTTAGACTGTTCTATCTACAAATGACTACATCATCCGAAAAATATTCTGAAGTTCAAGGTATTAGTGCGCAATTTCTACGCCAATTATTTTCGTTCTAAGCAATTGGATTGCTTACTAAAAAGCAGCCATCAGCATTTTTTTAACGGCTTAATTCTGAACGTGGCGTACGGAAATCATTTATATGTGCAGACATTAATACGCATCGATGTAAATATTAAAACGAATTGTTTTCTATAGTGCTATATTTATAATGCTTGTTTCACTAGACACACTTTTAAAAAAAAATTAAATGTTTTCTTTCTCATCAACTGAATATTGTTTTGTCTCTCACCATTATTTACATCTGAAATTAGATTAGTTAGGAAACTTGATAAGTGAAAAAGTTTCTGAGTTCATTATTCATTTCATGAGCCTTAAACAATTAACGGATCGACAGAAAATAAGTTCCTACGGGCTCTTTCTTCACGAACCAGAAGGTTTTTATTTTCTCTATCAGGTCGTGCCTTGTTAAGTGTAACAAATGTTGTGCCATTCTCACTGTGATATTGTTCTTTGCTTCCCTATATGTATGTTCAGAATCAAGATGTGCACTGAACCAAGATTATTGGACCTCCTGAACGCTCACCACGAGATGGGCCACATTGTCTACTACATGCTGTACAGTCACCTGCATCCCTCCTTCCAGGATGGCGCCAACGAAGGTAGCCATCTTTTGTCATTCTGCTTTCGGCTCAAATATTTATCTCGAGTGATGGGAATGACTTCGCATTCCAGCGTTCCAAGAGATGGTTGGAGACCTGATCGCCCTCTCTGTGTCAACGGTCAGACGCTACCGCCACCTGGGCTTGCTGGGCTTCGAATACATCGGTGAGTGTGCTTTGTAAAGCTCTAGTCCTTTGATTTTTATTGGAGTAGTTCATCTATATTGACGAGTCGGGGAAAGAGCTTTGTCCATGCTTTATTCTTTAGAATAAATTGTAATTGAAATACGTCACTTCAAGGGTTTTTTTCTTTTTTTTTTCTTGGCGCTTCTACTTTGCATTTAGCACTCAAAATTGCAGTTTCATTTTATTTTTTGTCGCCGTTTCAGACCCAATTGATGCTCTGCTTCAGACGGCTCTGGACAAGATAGCTTTCCTCCCTTATGGTTACGCGCTGGAGAAATGGCGTTGGTCCGTCTTCACAGGCGAGACCCCATTCGAAGACATGAACAAAAGGTTTTGGGAATACAGGTGAGGCGCGTAGGCTCCATTTACCTGAAGGGCACCAGGCACAAGCTCTTCCTGCATTCTTCTGACGGGCGACTGCCTGTGAAAGTTTATTGAGATATGCTTGTCGTAAACCTTATTCCAACCGTTCTCATCTTCGTATCTCTGTTCCACTCTTGTGAGAAAAGCTTCCGTCGTAGTTCATATCTGAAGATTCCGTTTGTAGTTTCTGTTTTCATGGGTTGTTTTGTTTAACCTTCTAAGGCTATAACACTGGCGCAGAAAAAACCACCTAACGCTCCTACAAAAGTAGCTTCGGTGCATTCTCGACAGCTCCTATATTCGAAATGTGGTCGTGATCATATTTAGCGGCACATATGTGATTTGTTTCAGTTTCTATCTTTCTTTTCTATGCATCAGAGCAAATTAACCCATATGTGTAGGAACTAACGGTCTTATTAATGTTGCCCCTAATTCCGAAAATATTTAGGCCTGTCCATCGTCCGTATATGCACGTCTTTGAAGATAAAGGTCACTGTGCAATTTTTTCATCGGCGCTTTTATGCCAATTTTTTGACAAAAGGAATGCTTTGTTCCTCCCATATCAAACGAACTCAAATTTAAACTAGGAGCCAGGTTTTATTTTATTGATGTTGTGTTAGACGCACGAATATCGTACTGTAGAATGTTTCCGCGCACTTCCCTGCAAAGACCCATCAACTAGAGTATTTGTCTATCAAGTTATGACTAAGTGTTATGTGTTTGTAATCCTGGTATTGCGACTAATACACAGGCGACTTTAGCATCGAACATCGTTCGGCACGTCCCCTAGCCATTGTAACGTGAAGGAATCTCGCCAGTTCGCAGCAACATTTTCTCGCGGAGAACACGACACGCGCACCGCATCTCCACCAAATTACTTTCCGCCCTGCCATCCACAGGAGTGTGTAACGCTTCGAGTAATCCTCACTATCAAAATTATTTGAAAGCTATCAATACGTCTTCGTCACGTGTTTTAACAATTACGAAGTTCATTTCAGTGTTGCTCTTAAACTGCTCTGCCGAAGTCCTTCAACTGTAAACAAAACGTGTGCCTTCCACTGCTCTGCCCTTCGCATTATGTTTTTCTTTGTAGGATTAAGTATCAAGGAGTATCACCGCCGTTGACGAGGGCGGAACTTCATTTCGACCCCGGAGCAAAGTACCACGTTGCTATTAACGCCCCGTATATAAGGTATGTTTCTCTCAGTATTTTATTCGTGTCTGCCTACTGTGGTTTTTTTTTTAATTTCCGCGTATTCTTTGCAGCTATTTCGTGTCCTTCATACTTCAGTTCCAAGTTCACGAATATCTTTGCTCCAAGACCAACAAGATCGACGACGAAAATCCTTTCCACGAATGCGACATTTACGGACACGAGCTCGCCGGACATATCCTAAAGTGAGCGATCGGTTTCGCGTTCAAGGCAATTTCGATGATAAATTTAACTGCTATCTGCCTAGGGTTGCTTATTCTCCGCAATAGGGGGCACCTCGGTTAACAGTTGTCAGAGCTTGGTCATATATTTCGTGGTTCATTTCGCCAGACTTTAATGCTGGAAGTTTTCATAGTGTCGCGTAGAACATTCTTGAACTCGATATACGTGTGTAGCCAACTGGACTACTCAAGCATTGGTTAATAGATAGAAATGGGTCTGATCGGTCGATCAACGCGGACCTTGCCGTTCGGGAGTCGAACTCGAGCTCTCTTCGCCCTCTTTCTTTTTGGGCTGGTCGCTCACTACAATATTCCCCTTTAGAGAGGAAGCATAGTGACTAAGTGATTTGATTTTTTTTTCGACTGCTAAATTAGTATATTAGAAACGAGTGAAACACCGGATGAGTTTCGCAGTTCAGCCTGGAGTAGCTAGACGAGCCAGAGGTGTGCTGCAGATTAGGTGGTTGAGGTAGCACCGTCATAGTTCATTTGGCGATTATGTGATTCAGCGCTTTCGAAATGTCTACCCGACTGTTAGAAACCAAGTTTTTAATTGGATGACCAGAATTCCGGGAACTTTGTTGAAACTGTAGTCGCTGCCATCGTAGTTGGCGTTCCCGTTGAAGTCTGGTCACCTTGATCATTCATTTTGAGAGGTGGCAAAACATGAATAGCTCACTAAAATTGTAAAGTCACAAAGCTGCTAGGCAGTGGATGTCGCTCAGTACGGGTCACAAATATATAGCCACTGGATTACATTAAGACGGTTTGTCTTAATAAATGAAAAGTGGTCGGCACGATCGATCGACGCGGTTATTGCGGTTCGGAAGCCAGGCTCGAGCTTTCTTCGTCCTCTTCCTTTTCGGGCTAGTCGCTCACTGCACGTGGAATTGCTTACAATGCATGGCACGAACAGTCACCTAGATTCCTGTTGCTTCCTACTCACCCCCTAGCAAGCCAACCTAATTTTCTTATGGTGAACTTGATTGCGTGTATTTTTAAGTCTCACTGGTGCAGCAACAACGTGTTCGCACTCCTATAGTTCACTATTACATAAAAAATCTAGCCGTGCTAGTTGGCATACGACATCTGGAAAAAATAAAAGTTCAAAAGAGTACCGTACAACTGAGAAGCGAACAAACAAAGCGCTTAAAATTAAAGTTGAAGCCTATCAGCAACCATTATAACAGTTTGTCGTTTATTGCTCAGAGTTGGCAATTCTTGAGTCCTTTCAAGAATGTGCGTGCATATGGTGGTGGTTGGTATGGCGTTTTCTGTGGTTTGTGGCGTTCTTGTTGCTTTCAATAAACTTAATTTGAGCCGTTGCGTTTTCAGTTCGTCGATTTGACTTCTCTCTAATCGCTTTTATTCTTATAAGTCTCAAAGCATTGTTTACTATACTGTAATGCATACTTGGTTAGAACAAATACTAATCAAAGCATTCTGTACATGTTTCTGTACCCCAAGTTTTACGGCAACTCAAACTTCAGCGGGGTACATATATTGTGTGATCTATCTCGATTTTCACCATCCAGGCGTGGATTATCCCTCGGTAAAAGCAAGCCGTGGCCAGAGGTCTTGGAAATATTGGCCGGGACAAGCCAGATGTCCGCTGGCTCCATGAGGAGGTACTTCAAACCCTTGGAAAAGTGGCTCGATGAACAAATCAAGGACGAGATGGTCGGGTGGGACACTGCCCTCGGTATGTGTAATTTTATTTTGACCCATCGGAGTATCCTTGCTTCTGTAGTTTGCTCTCCTAGAAGGCCAGCCACCCTAACGTTCTATTAAATTGAAGTTTTTTACCCGTAGGTAATAGTTAGCCACAGTGTTCTCGATATTAATCGCTCTAGTAGTATGTTTTGTGGCAACACGTTTAGCGCAAGAAACAGGCGGTGGTCGGCACGAATACAAACTTCTCCCGTGATCCAACCAGATTTCAGTTTACAGTTGATGCCTGTTGTGGACAGCACCTCTTCGGTGCATATTTTTCCTAAATACTACACTTGGTTTGTTACAAGTAGGCCGCAGAGTTTCCGGTGTTTGTTGATTTAAAAATCGTCCTTTTTATATGGGGTCGGATTACTTTGCTTATCTGCTTCGGACAGACGCAAGAAGAGATTATGGAAAAACATTATCATGGAAAATTAGGTTTAAATCTAAGTAGATCGAGTTGCGACAGAAATAGTTCTATCTAGACCTAAAACCCCGAGACTGAAGGAAGCGATAACGACACGAACAGTCTCTAGTTTTTGGAGATTTTGTGTGTTTGTGTCGACATTGGTTCCTGTGGTCTCAGGGTTGAGTTACGTCTAGTAATTTTCACCCGCTCCTTTGCGTTCTGAGTTCCTGTTCATTGATTCTACAAGATGCAAACTTTGCCCCCTTTTTTGCTATTTCTGTCCCATTCTATTCCTTTCTACATAGAAGTTGTACGTTTGTGTAGTTATTGCTTCCTGCTGTCTCGGGGGTTGAGAAATGTCTAGTAACTTTACCGTCTCGTTGTCGCCCTGACTCTTTGTTCATTAGACCTATCTGAAGAAAATATTTTCAAGAATGTATTTTTTAATGTTGAGTGGAATTTGTGTTTTTAACACCAACGGATACTTTTTAAAAATTTTCGGCTAAAATAGAGAAGTCCACGATCCGTTCGTGTGCAAAATGACAAAGAAACCGAGGAGGGGTCGAGGTCAATTTTGAGAATACTAACGGGCACGTGATTGCCGATGGCCTAAGACAGTGGTTCTCAACCGTTGCTGTTTTGCGGACCCCTTGTGGATCGGCGGAGATGACGGGGGACCCTATTCGTGGTGAGGGGAAAGGGAAAAGATGGGTAAATTATGACAATGATTGAGTAAATGAATAAAACTAAGGGCTGATGTGAAGTTGACTTCTCTTGTTGACACGTACATGAGAAAACTTGCCCAAAATTGGGAACGTTTTTTCGCAATCTGAGAAATGAGAAGTTTCATTGCCGGGCTTCGCTGATACGGCTGAGATCCGCAGACCCCTAGAATCCCTTCGCGGACCCCAAAGGATCCCCGGAACCTCATTGGAGAACCACTGGCCTAGGACATAGTATTAAGCACAGTAGAGTTAGCAAAAACAGAAACTAAATATTTACTAGAAGTCTCCGCCTGTAAAGCTTTCTCCTGCCGAAAGTGGGGGCGCTCTAGAGATGCGTATACTGTACCGATGGGAAGAATCTCAAACGAAGATGAGACTGCCTCTCGCTCACGTCGCGTCACTTAACCGTCGTCAGTGGAAGCTCTTGCGTAGCCTGCGGTGCGCTAGCAGGGTAGTGACGGTGTAAAGTGGTTGCCCCTTTTGGTGAACAGAATTCGGGCCAATTTGTTTAAGATTGTTATAACATAAAGCGCTAATTGCCGCGCCCTCGCAGCATTGGCAACGCAGCATGGGCGTCACTTGGTACCACCACCTCTCCCAAAGCGCATCACAGGCTGCCCGAGAACTTCCGCTGACGACCGTTGACTGACACGCCGAGGGCAATAGTTGATGTTGAAAATTACCCGAAACTGTGATAAAAGCTGAAAACTTTGGTAGTAAAAAGGCAGGAAAAAGAAAGTCTAACCCAGCTACTGTGTGTAAATATCCTCGAATCCTTATATAGCCGCAAACCTAACTCCAATCAAGTTACGTGAGAGAACAGTTCTTTGTTTCACTTTAGCCCAAGAATCGTTAACTTCTTTTAAATACTTCCATGTTGCATCGCCCCAACGTTTACACAGTTGCAGATAGATTTAATACAAATAATGAGTATTAAATACGTTCCGACGTTCGCATTTCTTTCGCAAGGGGCTGTACTTGCGTTCTCCTTTAAGAATTAGCTCCGCCGGTTTATGTTCAAGCAAAGACTTGGTCGAATACCGGGTACCAAGTAACCTAGTATTAGCGCTCCATTAACACAGCGTAGCACAGCCGTTAGAGGCATAATGTTTTTGTTTTTTTCTCACTTTTTCTAACTTTCAGCGAACTAAGACTTCAACTTATGTCACTGTGCTTAACGTCATGCGCAAGCCTGCCGGTAAACCGAAACCTGACAAGACTTCTAATAATCATAATAGCCATAGCTTGGCGGTTTCTCATTTTAAGAAACAAGTTTGGCCAATTTCTTTTTATAAAGAATGGAATAATTTTACGCGTATCTCGTTACAATCGTAATCCAAAATCTGCATGATAATTGCATGCAATGACCCTTTGATTCATACTACATATTTTATTTCTTCCCTGCCTTCTCTTCTTTCAGTGGAGAAATACGTGGGAATGGCTAGTGTTTTGCAGGTGTCCATCTTGACATGCATTATCATCGTGGGTGCTGGTGTCTTCATCTGGTGGACCTAAGCTCTGCGATCCTGTAAAAGAGCCTGTGGTCTCCTACGCTCGGAAATATGTTTGAAATTTTAGCAGCTTTTTAATAACGTCCAGAGCATCCAGTTTGATATTCAGCGTTATTAAATATGTCTCAAATAACTGCCGGTTTAGAACATTTTTCAATTACGAGCTTTTCCTACATTTGTTATAAGGTCCCTGAGCAGGTATCGTTTTGAAGTCGCCGGTTTAACCTCTGGGGAATCTATAACGAGCCGTTTTATTAGCATTTCGTCTGCAGTAATGTTCAATTTGTATTTTGTATTTGTATTGAAGGGTTGTAGTGGTCCTGTACCTCGTCATTAAACTATTTCTTTCATGATGAGTTTCTATTTCTTTTTTTGTTTTCAAAGGGCTTGTTCAAGACTGCAACAGAGCGGAGCCTACAAAATTGCTTACGTAAGCCTGCAACTGGCCAGCCTCGTAAAATTCCGACAAATATATATTCTTATTGATAACGTTAGGAATTGCTATGTTACCTACCGTTAGAAAATAAGAGATATGGGCAAACTAAAACAACGGGCATGCACAAACGTTTCGCTTGTGCCGTCTTATTGGATTTCCTCTCTCGTATTTTATATCAGCCGGCCGGCGACAGCCAGCCGGCGCCAGCAGATCCCACAGTTGTACCGTCTCGTAACTTGGCAAAGGGTGAACGATAAGCCCCACATTTCGTGCCGACGGCTTCGATGTGCGACACATATACGAACGCGACGCACACATACTGAAGCACGGCGCAGCGAAAAGCCTGACTGTTCTTCGCAGTAAAAGCCCACTTCGGTGATACGTAGTCCTGTTCCGAATGGCCCGCCAGGGCCTAAGCTTCCGCCGTATTGGCATGCTATGCGATCACTGCTTCCTGGCATACGCAGCATATCTTGCTTCGGGCGCTAGACTAAGCGGCGCCACCAGGGTAATAGCTCACGTTTGAGCAATGCAGGTGCCACTCCCAGACATATCCAATGTCTCTTGCTTCAGTCGCTAGATAGCGCCAAACAGCATTACAGGTTTCCTCTAAATACCTCCTATAGACCGCTCGAATACTCGCCTTCTCGCGCCGTCATCTTTGCCTGCTGGGCTGTCGAACGCGTTCTGTGTGTGAGGAGTAGCTCTCCACTGCAGAATGAAAGACGGCGCACATGCATCCACAGCTCAGTGACTCGACATATTTCGGCTGAGTGATAAGCGCTAAAAGGAATCTGTACCTTGTTTCACTTTGAGTTCAGCCGCAGGCAACGCTACGTGCTGATGGGGATGGAAACGATTGAGGAACGTCGAAAGCTCAAATCACTGGGCCTTTCCTGTTTGATTCGTTCGGCGATGATGGAAGATCACAAGAAACATGACGAACCACAGATGGTGCACTTTTGACGGCGTCCGACGAGTCCCGTCGGCTCTTTAGAGTCGGCGGCGCCTGGACTTAAGGTGACAAGATGTGTAGCTCACCTGCCTCAATACTTTACAATTTTGTTGGCCTATGGTATGTAATAATACGAGCAGTTTTCTTTCACTTCTGGAATCACAATGACAGGTGTGTGGCGGAGTTGTAAATTCACGCGTCTGCCATGCGGAGAAACAGGGTTTGAACCTAGCTCGACAGGATTCTTTTTTTTAACAAGGTTTACCCCTTTCTATTCGTGACTCCAGGGACCAATGGAAGTCGCTACTATCGGGTCCATATAAACAAGACTCTGGTATCACTTTAATATCTGTTTAGTGTGCAGCGCATTTTCTGACATTTTACAAAAGAAAAACGTGATAAACGCAGTGATGACCAGTATGTCTCGACCTTTTGTCACCACATATTCGGGCATGAACGCCAAAGAAGTGCGCTCTTGCTCTAAACCGAAATCTAAACCGAAAGCAAAAACTGTATTCAGCGTGCTCATGCCCGGTTGAGCACAGTGTACTCCCCTTAAAAACACAATCAATGCGATTTTATTTAATTTTATTTAAACAGTGTATTAGGCTTCTTGGGAACCTGGCATACTGCCCAATGTTTTATAGACATGTGTGACGCGTATTTCTGTACCTACGAAAGAACTGAAGAAACCGAAATTGAACTATCTGCGTTTCTCGTTTTTAGATCTCTGAAAATGGAGGTGAGGTAGGAGTGACGTTACATGTGAATTGTCGGTACCGGTAGCATTTAGGGCGTCGAGACTCTGGTTACCGCGGTGGGTTACAGCAGCGCGGTGGCGCGGTCGTTTCGTCGGACCCGTCGGACCAACATGGAAGGCAATGCCACTCTCGCGAGCGAATTCGGGCTCCCGTTCAGTAACCTGACAACAACAGAACGGGAGATGCTCCTAAGGACACGGAACTCTGGATGCCTCTTTACGAGGACGCCCCAGAATCGCGGCCGACCCAGAGTAATTCGCCTTACACCTACGCCCAGACTCCGGCTAACCTGAAGGTTCCGTTCAAAGTCTCC